TTGGAGACAGCTCAGGCAACGTCCTGTCATTGCTGAACACGATGTATTCTACACACTCACTGGCCCTACGCCTCCATGCCCCAAACCTGCTTTGATGGTCCCCCGCTTCTGCTTGGCTTAATCATTTAGTCTGTGACTTCCAGAAAGCCTAATGCCCGTGTTTTATTTTGTGTGTTTGTTCATTTTAGCAAGATCATGTTATGGGACATACTGGAAGTCAAGGAAGGGAGAGGAAGCCTGGAAGAGAAATAGGTAGAAGGAAGGAGGGAGGGCGGGAGGCAGGAAGAGGGTGAGGCTGATTGTTGCAGTTTTGTAGAAGCTTCTGCAAAGCCTCTCTTCTTCCAGATCCTTCTGCCCTTGCCCCAAGCCTCTTTTGTTCCCTCTACCATTACAGTCTCTTGCTCTTGCATATTGTACAGATGAGTGAGGATCAATAAATACTACTCTGCAAGACAAAAAAGAGGATTAAAAGAAAGCCTGCCATCATCCCCTAGTCACCAGCACACACTATGTACACACTGAACGCATCCACAGGTCCTGTTCTGTGAACATGATGATCTAACTGTTCACCTCTCCGAGTCTCCACCATCACCATCATCATCACTCCAAACAGGAACATGAATTGATATGAGCTGATGTATGTAAATGTTGTGGTCATTCAAAAAAAAAGGAAAAAGTTGCTCTTAATGTTTTTTGTAGCTCCTTATCTGTTTTTCTTAAATCTTTCTGGCCAAGCTAGTTTCCAAGTGGTAGTCGGATCCCCACCAAGTTGATTCCCAGTCTTCAGTGATCACTCTGTTATTGGTTGAATTAGGTCTTTCGAAAAGTATGTGAGGCCCTGACCCCCAGTACCTTCAAAAGTGAGCCTATTTGGAAATAGGGCTGTTGAAGATGTAATTAGTTAAGATGACGTCAAACTGCAATAGCGTGGGCCCTTAATCCAATAGGACCAGGGCCTTATAAGAAGAAGAGAAGACACAGAGACACACAGGCATACTGGGAGAATGCCATGGAATGACAGAGGCAGAGATTAAAGTGGTACAGCTTCCAGCCAAGAGCACCAAAGATTGCTGGCCACCATCAGAAGCAAAGAAGAGGCAAGGGAGGATTCTAACCAGAGTTCTCAGAGAGAACATGGCCCACTGACACCATGATTTTGGACTTCTGGCCTCCTTCTCTTGTTGGGAGAGAATAAATTTCTGTTATTTTGAGCACCCATTGTGTGTACTGTGTTACAGCAACCCCCTGGGAACTTAACACAGCTCCCCACAGTGGTCTTTGACTCTTTGGCTAGGTAAGATTCTTTCAAAAGGAACCAGGATTTCAACTGGGTCAATCTGAATAGAATTTTGTAGGTGAAACACATGCTCTTACTGAATTCTAAAAAGGCCTGTCGGATTCTAAATGTCCTATCCAAAAATACACAGACGTTTGAAGATACAACACAACTGTCTTTTCCCTATGCTCAAAAAATAAGCTCTCAGGATAATAGGGGCCAGAGGGCTGCATGACACAGGTAGGGAACAGAAGGAGAATGTGGAATCTCAGAGGCACCACTTTATGATCAGCTGCATGCTCTGGGACAACTGGATCCGTTAGGGTCCTACAGGAAAGGCCAGTCACTACACATGGTTCTGATGAAGAGACCCGGAGGAAGGGACCACATACAAAGGTGTGGAAGGACTAGGGGACAAACCAGGGGTGGTGAGGCAATGGAAGGAAGCTGGGTGCAGCCCTAGGGCCAAGAGGACAAGGGAGAAAATAATGCTGTTAAAGTCTATTGAGAATTGCAGTCATGGAAAGACACAATCTTTCTGGCCTGACAGATGCATGACATCTGCATGTCAGATGCATGACATCCAAGCAGATAGAGGTGGGGATGAAAGATTTCAACTTCTTTCTTCATTCTGAACTTAGTTTTTCTCTCTGCCAAATGGGGATAAGACTACTGACCTTATAGGCTTGTGAATTAACCTGGTAATGAATGATAAGGGAATTAGCACAATGCTTGGCACAGGGGGGTGTCCTCAATAAACATCGCGTGACTAAACAGTGACCAACTGAATGAATATTTTTATAAGGCACACAGACAAAATCATTTTTTTTAAATAAAATAAAGTCTCAAATGATAGACTTGGACAAATTATATCTGCATTCCATGTCGTAAAAGGTACAGAGGGAATTGTACAGAATTTCAGAGATAATTAACTCCAAGTCGAATCAGGACTGCCAGAATCCAGGAAGGATTCCTCCAGTCAATCTTGCCCTAAAAAGGCACCAAGACACATGTACAGGAAGGAAAATAGAAGCCAATTAATTGAAAATGTTTGGTACCTTGTAGCCTCAAGAGGTTTAGATGGAAGCATTTAGTGTAGTGAGTATAACTGAAATGGCATGTTGTCTGGACAAAGCTGATTCAGCCACCAACCAGAGCGATCCAACATGATGTCCACTTCTAGGGGCTGTTGACTCAAAGGCAAAATTTAAGATGGAGCTTCATTAGGGCCAGTGGGTGTGGAAAGGGAGTTGAAACCAGAGATTCTTTCTATGTTTGGCAACTATGTTCAAACCTTTCTCCCGTTGCAAGAGAGAAAAGAGGGGAATAGACAGGGCATGTACTAATGTGTTTGGAGCAGGCTGGAATGGTCCTGCACATTGCTTCTGGAATCCTCACAGCAGCCAGGAGAGAGGAGAGGCATAAGAGGAAATAGGCTCAGGGAGGGCAGGGGTCTTGTCCAGGGTCCCAACACGGCTGAGTGGCCCAAGAGGAATTCAAACTTAGATGGTTTTCACTCTCTACCATGTATGTTTTCCACCCCACCAAGAGCCAAATACATTGGCCCTACTCTTATGGTCTGGTTATAACAAACCCCATAGAATCTTTATCACCATACTGGAAGAAAAACAGAAATCCAACAATACAGGAATAGAAACAGAGGGCCTGGCTTTAAATTCCAGTCCTGCCTCTGCCCTGGAGGTCAGTATTACCACATTTCAAGGATTCTAATCCATGCATTCTTTTTTTTTTACATTTTTAACAGAAATCAGAGCATAAGTTACAATTGGTAGCATGCCATGGTTTGAAGTGGTATTGTTGCTTAGTGGTTCATGACATAATGGTGTGCTTTATTGTTGGTGCCTAATATTTACAGAATATATGATGAAATACAAATTTTTATACACACACAAAATATATAATGAAATACATTATTATCATCTTCACTTCTCATGGATGAGTACTTCAGCCTGTTCTTAGGTGAATCGGGCATCTTCTGTTCATCTCCCTGAGCTTAGGATACCTTGTTCTTCCCACATTCACCTTCTCTTCCCACTTCTCACCACCAGCTTGTTCCTATTTATACTAGGTACTGTCGGTTGCCCTGTTAACACTCTCTCCCCTTCTTTCCTGGCTAACGGAACCCTGATTTGATAGACATGTCTGCCTGTTGGGGTGGGGGGCTATCCTCCCCCATCCCAGCCAGTTAGTAGCCCAATCTAGTTACAGACAATGTCATACTCTCACTTGTGATTGGTTTGCCGCCAGCTTGAGCCAGTTAAGGTCTAAGGAAAAGTATGTTAGTGGGCACCCTCCTCTCTTTTAAAAAGCATGAGAGAAATTTTCCTGTCCTCTAGTCACAGTTAGCCCTGAATATGCCTAGATTATAGGCAGCCATCTGAGAGCTATGACTCTATCCAGCCTTCGGATGCTGGGACCAGCCGAGCAGTAACACATGAAAGGACCCCAGGTCCTGATGACATGGCTGAGCATTGCTGTGTCCCCTACTTGAGAGTCCCTCCCAGGTCAGGGAGGTCAGAAATTTCCTTATCATTTAAACCACCTTGAGTTTGGGTTTCCTATTGCTTCCAGCTGAACACCTCCTAATGTATGCATACAGCCTTTCATTCTTGCCTGACCCTCCCTCACAGCAGGCTCCACCTCATTCCTTCAGGTCTAGCTCTGAGGTCACTCCCCATCACCTACCAGTCGGATGTGCCTTCTGCCAGTCCCTCTGCCCCATCCTGTTCTGTTTCCTGAAGGGCCCTTGGGACTCATTGAGCTTCTCTGGTTTAGGGACAGCACGCCCCTACCACCCACTAGAACACAGGCCCCAAGAGGGCAGGAACTTGTCTGTCTTATTTATCTCATGTCCCCAGGACCCAGCTCAGAATTCTGTGATCCCCAATTGACCCATCTGCAGATTGGAGTGCTCAGCCAACCTCCTCATGGTGTGTGTGTACATTTCTCAGATCATGCAAGGGCAGATATAAGGGTTATAAAAACGTTAAAATAGCTTTTCCTCTAAGTCCAGGTTCATGGGTCTATCTCAATCAGGCATTTAAAAATTTGACCTCTTGTAAATACACAGCCCTGTCCTTAGCAAGATGCTTAATCTGAAGCATCCATCGTCTGCTCTCCTTGCCTGATGGACTGGGCCATCTATCCCAGGCCCTGGACATCTGGTGTCTGCGGCTGATCCATTAGCTGCTTTGCCCATCCCCAGACCAGAGTGATCTGTCCTCCACCTCCATCCAAGCCACCATGAAATATTTAAGCCACCCTGACAGCAGATAACTTAGTTTGCCTGGATTCTACAAGGATTGTGGATTGTGTTACAGATGAGAGGTCTGACCAGCTAAGAGAAGTCAGAGGTCTGAAGCATGGCTGCCTGATAAATGGGGAATGAACACTAAAAAATAAATCACAACTTAGAAAGCAACTTTTAAAACAAATACAAGCTTGGTGAGTTCAAACTTGCCACAGGTTCCTAAAGAAGTAGCTAAAGAACCACTTGCAGACAGTGGAGGACTGCAGTCTTTAGAGTCTTGTAGATCTGGGTTCAAATCCAGCATGGCCACTTTCTAACTTTCATTCCTTTGGTGAGTTACTGAATTACACTGAGCCTTGTTCTCCACCTGTAAATTGGGGACAATAAGCCCTCCCTTCCAAGGTTGCCATGAGAGTTAAATGTGATATTTGGAAGTACCTGGTAGGTGCTTACTTTATGCAAGTTTCTTCCTCTCATCCAATCAGGGGCTTCTTATCTAGGTCAACTTCAGGAGTGAGAGACAGCCAGGCATCATCTGATGGATATAGGGTGACTGTATTAAGGGTCATCTGACACAGGAACCAAATTCACTCTATCCAGGCACTTAGAACATATCCATCTCCTAGAATTTCTTTACCATTCATCTCATTCCAGAAAACAAGGATCTGAGGCTGTTGGCTACAAAGTGCATTTAGATGTGCTACTGTTAAACAACAGGAATAGGAATAATGTTTACAGAATGTGTACTGTATACTAGGTAATAAGTTAAGTGCCTTGCCCACATTAATGTTTTCTCAAAGATTTTTAAAAAAATGCAACTTCTGGCAAGCAGGTGGAAGCATATCTCTTAAGCCCTTTCTGACAGCCCTTTCTGACTAATGCCAGTACAACGCTGAGTTCTGGGTCATGGTTCTACAATAAATTGTTTCAGTGGGAGCAAAAATAAAAAGAGGGCTGGACAAGAAAACTTCAGAGTCACGATAACAAAAATAATTTTTCCTACAGGAGTCCCAGTAGTAAAGGTGTTTCTGCAGCTGGGATTCATAGCCATAAAATCTCAGTGTCAGAGGCTCCCACAGTGTTACATTGCACACCACCCCCTCTGATGGCCACCGACTCTGACATCAGTGCCAAGAAAAGCATCTTATGTATTTTTTATCCTCTTTAGCATCTTTTCCAGCCAGTGTTATGATCATATTTCTCAAAGCACATGTTACAACTTCAAGTTTTTCTCCTTTTGCCCTTGTGTTTCCCTCAGGGGACCCTCTGAGTTCAATGGATAATAAATTATCCATTGGGTTATATCCAATTTGCATACTGGACATTTATACTGCAGGAGAAAAGCTTGTGATGGGAGGATCCATGGTGTCTCTGAGCTCCCTGGCAGTCCCTTCCAAAAGGGAAACTCAGTGCAGTCTGGAGGTAGCTCTCTCTTCCTAAAGGCAGGAAGCATCCCCTTTGGGTATTGCTGCTTTAACTTGGTTCCTTTGAAGCAGGGCACCATCTAACCAGCTTTGGGCTGAATGGTTGCTTTTCCCTTCTCTGGTTGTAGCTTCTGTTGGGTGAACATGGTATTTGTTGGCCCCACTCAGTGCTGAATACCCTTAAGATTTGTCAGGCTCTAGAGTCCCCTTGCACCACTCTTAAATGTGCCAGACCCTGTATACATGCATGGATTCCACACGATCCATCTCATGGAATCTTAACTCTCTGACATTACAATTCCCATTTGACAGATGAGGAAAAGGAGGCTCAGAGAGATAAAGTGAGCTGCCCAGGCTCACAGCAAGTGGCAGAGACTGGGCTAGATCCCTGGTCTCCTGACTCCAAATACGGCTTCAGGGGTGCAATTTCATGCTTAATTACACACAGAGAGCAGGTCACAGGGATGGCAGTCAAACCCAGGACTCTAGTTCCGAGTCTACTGCTCACCCCACAATACTACACAGCCTCCCAGCTTCCAACCATCCATTTAATAAATATTTACTGCCCACCTGCCAGGCAGCAGGAGCTATCAGAGGTCCTAGGGATATAACTGTGAGCAAGACAAACAGGATCTGTGTCCCTGTGGGCTCAATGTCTACTGAGGAAGATGGACGATAAATGAGGAAGTTCATGGACTGACAGATCATTCTGGTTGGCATGAGTCTCATGGTAGAAATATTCAAGGCCTTTGGGGGAAGAAGGGCTGGGGTCACCGATTTAGACAGGAGGATCAGGGAAGGCTTCTCTGAGGAGGTGAAGATACCTAAGAACTGCATGCTAAGTAGAGGCAGGCATGGAAGAGAGAATAAAATGGGCAAAATGAGCAAGAGCTTGGAGCTGTGAAGTCTCTGTCACAGGGACTGATACAAAAGTGGTATGGCAGGAAGTTCATAAATGAAGACAGAAGGCTCAAGGTGAAGCCGGGCAGGGGTCAGTCACAGGCCTTGAGGACATGTGGAAGGGCTGAATATTTTTCTATGAGCAATGAAGCACTGAGGGGTTTAGGCATGGAGGTGACATGACCTGATCTGAATTTTAGAAAGATTACCTTTAGCAGCTGCTACTACTGCTGTGTGCATGTGTGTGGGGTGGAGTGCAGGGGGGTGGGGGAGGCCCACTGGGGGAGGTCAGTACAAGTGGGAATCAGGAAAACCAGGGAGCTGCTGTGGGAGCCCCAGAATGCCCAGACTAGGGTGGTGGCAATGACCATGGAGGAAGGGGGCAGATTTTGGTCACGTTGAAAAAATCAACAAAACTTACGGATGGCTTGAAAGGAAGCAGTGAGGGAGGGGGAGGTGTTCAAAATGACTTCCAGGCTCCAGGCTCCAGGCTCGAGTGCGCCAGAAGAACTGGGCCGTCTATTTTGGGGCTGTTGGAATAGGACTGTGAGGGCAGGGCCTGGGGGAAGATCAAGAGCCCAGTGGTGAGGCTTCAGCCTTGAGTCCCACCCTGCAGCGGGAGCCCTTCCAGCAGCAGCCAGACCCCTCCCCCGCCAGAGCAGGCAGATAACAGGCCCCATGGTGCCTGGAGCCCGCCCCGGAGCCCCAGTGGCTGGGGCCTGCTGCAGCCAGGGCCCTGCACTCTCTAGATTGGGTTCCTGGAAAAGCTGTTCAATTATTGATAAGGAGCCTGTGTGACATCATTGAAAGACAAGCTCTCCTAGCTTAAGTAATGCCTCTTCCCTGCAGATCTGGGTCCTGCAGATCTGGATCCTCCAGCTCAGCAATGGAAATGTGGGGGAGGAAGGTGAAGGGACAGAGCAACAGTTGACATGCAGCCATAAGAAAAACACTCAACACATAACAATAATAATAATGACTATATTGTAATAACATGTTCTGAACCCTTGCTGTGTGCCAGGCTGGGTTCCAAGGGACCATACTCTTCCTAAGAGCTCTAATAAGAGGGAAGTCCTGTAATTATTACCACTTTAATAAAAAGTGAGAAAACTGAGATATATAAAAGGAGGTTAAGCAAGTTGCCCCAGGTCAGCCAGCTTGGAAATGGCAAAGCCAGGTTTAAGCCCCAAACGGTCTGGCTTCAGAGTCCATGGAAACCCCACCACTCTAAACTGTCTCCATGTGCTACCCCAGGTGAGGAGCTGGAGCTGGTGGCAGAGGGGGTCTTTCCTTGTTTAATATGAATTAATTAGATAGAACAATGTGGGAAACATTTAAATATAGGGGCTTATAGTCACTGCTTTTACATAATTTGAGTTACTAGATCCCTAGGAAATGAGGAATCTTGTCATATCCATTTTACAGATGAGAAAACTGATGTTCAGAGAGATGAGAGGCTATACCTAGGGCTGGGCAGCTAGATAAGAATGGGCCTGGAATTTGAACCTTGCTCATTTAACTCCAAGGGCAGTGACTTCTGCAGCATCACCGTGCATATACCTACATGTAAACTGTATATATAAACTGCTCAAGTTGACTGGAAAAAAATATTACTGTTTCAACAAAGAACACACATGCTATGCAGTGCATCGAGATTTGGAACCATCATCTGAGCATTTTTATCCCCACAGAAAGCCATTGAAAGAGCCACTCTGAAGCTAAAATTTCAGCTGCTTCTGTGTTTTTCTTTCTCTGATCTTGGATGTGTGCCTTTCTTTTTGTGACCTCAGAAGAAAGGAAGTTAGACCCTAGATACATGCATTTCTCTAATCTTCCACAATTTACTGCTTTCAAATATTCTCTCATTTCTCTTTATTTTGCTGTCTTTGAACTTTTTTCAATTTTCCTCCTTCTTTTCCTCCCTCGTTTCCTTCATCGTACAACCAACAGTTTATTGAGCACTTGCCCGGCAGCACTGATGTTCACAGTGAAAGATCACCGATTCAGGAGCCAAACAGGCCTGTACTCATATCCCAGCTTCCCCCTTTACTAGCTATGTGACCTTGGGTAAGTTATCTCATGCTCCTAGCCTTAGTACCCTCATCTGTAAAATGGGCTAGTCCTACAAAGTACTCCACATGAGCTGCTGCAAAGATGAAACATGGCCACAGATGTGAAAGTGTTTGATCTGGAACTTGGTGCATAATTGGTGATGCATAATTGGTGATCCGTAACTGGTGATGGATGCTGAGGCTCTGTGGGGGAGAGGAGACTGAGGGATCACATGCAGACCCTGTCCTAGAAGAGCTCCCTGCCTAGAGGGGGAGATAGAGCAGAGATAAGGCAGACTGTGACAAGGGCCACAGGAAGGGGCAGATAAAGTGTCCCTAGGACTAGCTGGAGGGAGGAAAGCTTGTCATGAAATGCCTTAGGTTCTACAGAACAGCCTAGAAACACATTCCTGTTTTTCTCTCTCTCTCGCTGGCTCTCTGAGGGGTCAGGAAGATGTTTTTCTAGGCCAGATCCGAATCTGCCCTGAATCCTCAGTAAAATAGGGCAGAAGGTAATGAGAAAGAATCGAGGTGACACTGCCTGTGACTGAGGCCAGCAGGCTTAGAAGCAGTGGAAAGCTCGCTGGAGCTGGGCCCATCCATGGGCAAGAGCCAGAATTCCAGGTCTGCCCTGTGTTCTGCTCTGCCACTTCCTAGTTGTGTGACTTTGGACAAGTGCCCCTCCCCCCCACCCAGCAGCCTCAGGTTTAGAGTTTAGGCATGGAGGTGACATGACCTGATACAAATTTTAAAAAGATTACCCTTAGCAGCTGCTGCTCCTGCTGTGTGCATATAACGTGGGGCTAACAATGGTTCCTATTTTCAGGGCCATTATGAAAACTGGGAAAACTATATGCAAGTTCAGGGCATGTGGAATATGTATAGTAAGAACCAGTGTTTAACTTCTGTTCTTTTTCTGGTAAGTGGAGTTGTGTTTGGGGCCTTTCTGAGGTAGGTGGACTTAATTGGTCAATTAGAATTTTGGCAGCTCCATTGTAGAACAACGGAAGGGTAGGCACTGGACAATTTCATTTTTTCACTACTCAATGGATAAAACTGTCAGAAATATGTGTGTTTTGAATCAATGGGGGCAAGCCAACTATGAGAGAGCCATGCTCCTGCATCCAATGTAAAGCCAAGTTCAGGAACAGCATCTGACTTGATCTCATGCTCATATTGCACGGTGGGTTTAAGGTAGGCTTTCTGGGAAGCATACCCATGAGAACTTCAGTTGGCAGTATCCATCCAACTGGGATGAGCACTGACACCATCAATGGTGTTCAGAGCTTTCCAGAGCGCGCACACACACACACACAGCTCCACTGGGCTCATTCAGGCAGCCAGCTCATGCATATGCATGAAGTAACTGTTCAATGACCAATCAAGGGATATCTTCTGAGCAGGAAAGGAAAGAGCATTAGACCAAGGAAGCAGAACTCTGCTCAAGTCTAGGCTCTGCCTCTTTTATCTCTCTGAGCCTCAGTTTCCTAATTTGTAAAAGTGGGGGTAAAATAACCAGGCTATTGGGGATTTTAAATTAGAGATTGGATATGAAAATGTCCTGACACAGTGCTTGGAAGGTAGTAAGGGCTTAATAAATGCTGGTTAAATTGGAATCTGCTGAGGACTACAGGGACATAAAGATTTAACAAGTATTTATTGGGATCCTGTAGTATATCAGTGTTGTGTCAAGTTCTGGGCATATGGAGATGAATAAAACATGCCATTGTGGGGTCTATGTTTTAAACAGTGGGACAGACACACACAAACATCAGGAAAGACATTATATAAGAAGTTCAATTTATGCCAGGTTTGAAGGACATGAATGGGTTTGCAGTCAGAGACACCCCTGAGCTTGCAAAGTCCTCTCTGGATATTTCTGGTTTTAAAGAGTGTAACCATAGAGGAAAATGAGATTTAATACTTAGTCCAGTTCAAAATGGTTATGAGACCCCATCCAAAGTATAGAGGTACAGAAGGTGAAGCCAGGCTCCTGGTTTGGCCAGCACAAGTTTAGTCATGGGACAGCCAACCCACTCCACAATCCCAGAGACAAGCCACCATCACTGAGACCCCAAACTTCTCTTTGCCTTTCATCTTCCAACCTAGGAGGGCAACGACATTCTAGTTGAGAATCAGTGTTCCGAAATCTTCCCTTCAACTGTGCAGTCCCACACTTCACTCTTTTCCACCCTGCCCTGTGCCCTGGGGAGGCTGATCTTGGTGGACTGAGTCAATGGAACCCCCTTGCCCTCTGATTCCTGATTGGGCTCAAATAATGAAGAGCCTGAGCAGGAGATGGGAAGAAAGGAGGACAGCAAGGTTCGGGAGTTTTTTCCCCTTCCTCACCTTGCTGGGCCACTGTGCGATGGCTGGTTCCCTCGACCAGCTGCCACAGCTCCTGCCAGGCACTCGCCACACAGTCTCTGTCTCAGGGCCCAGGTCACCACTCCATCCCATCTCCCTTCAAGCCTAGGGAGGTGACAGCACTCCACTCTTATCAGCCCCAGGGAACAGCATGATCCCTGTGGTCCTCCCGCACCTTTGTAAATAGCTCCTTTATTAAGCTCTCCCCAAATTGCCTAATTTGAACATGCCATCTGTTTCCTGCCAGCCCCTGACTGACAGCTCCAGGTCCTTCGCCTGGAGACTGCTTCACTCTGTGCATATATTTTTCTGGGCCAGTGGAAAATAAGGCTGGAAATTTGGCTATGACAAGGTTGTCCTTCCAGATCTCTGAGCATCCTGTTTGTTGTTCTGTTTGGACAAGCCACAAGAGGTATTTTTCCTTCCAGTTCTAAGAAAAATTGCTTTTGGGTTTAATCTGAGATCAGGAACCTCAGATTTATGTGTGGACAGAAATTACATGAATGAACATGGCCTATTCATATACAGCAGACACATGGTGGTTCTCGGGATTAATCCACAATTCAATGCCAACCCCTCAGGAGAACACCTGGCTTACAGTAGGTACTCTAATCATTGGCTTGACTTTATTCCCTAATGATTCACACAGACACTGTCCCAAACATCCATTTTGCTCTGTAGCCTTATCATTTATACATCTGCAATGAATACACATGTAATTCACATCTTTTTGAACTCTTACTAGGTGGCAGGTACCTCAGACCATAAGGAAAAGAGTGGGATTGACAGAGTGAATAGACATGCTTCTTCCACCCACTTCCTGCCTTATCCACTTACCAGCTTGTGACCTTGAACCAGTTACTAAAGGCCCCTGTTAATGCCTTAGTCCTTCCATGTGTCAAATGCACACAATAATGGAACCTGCCTCTTAGAGTTGCTATGCAGATTAAATGAGATGTATAAAGCACTTATACATGTTTATTATGATGATGCATGTTATCTCATTTAATACCCATAACAATCCTAGAGCTATATATGATTGTCACAACTGTCTGACTCCAAAGCCTGGTTCCAGCACACTGTCTCTATGGCC